ACCTAGTGATTCTGTGATTCTGTGATATTAGAGAAATGGTATAAGCTAGCACCTTGTGCTAGCACCTCCCACTGTGGAATAAATATTCTGGTCTGTGACTGTAGCTTATCTTAGTGAGTAGTAGCTCACTAATCCACAATAACTCACTTGCTTTTGATTTTATGCACACTCCTTGAGACTTCATAGTGCTTCTTTACAACACTGTTGGAGTCCTGTGTCTTGTCAGGTGCTTATGCTTTAGGATATCAGGGACTTGGGTGAACACACAGAAAACTGATAGACTGTTAGTGGCTGGTGATGAACAAAAACTCAGGAGCCTTCAAAGAACCTTTGTGTGAGAATTCATTGTGGTGAGAAACTTCTTAGAGCATTTAAAGTTTTTCTTCCGTAGGTGGATAAAATAGGAAGAGGATATCAAGGGGATCCATCCTCAGCTCTTCTAGAGCTGTTGGATCCAGAACAGAACTCTAACTTCTTGGATCATTACCTTGATGTTCCTGTGGATTTATCAAAGGTATTTCTTTCTTCAGCAGTGGTTGTAGAGCTGGAATGTATGAATATGTATCAATGCAGAGATGTCCTGTCCATAAAAAAAATGCTGACGTTTTAGTCAGTTGGAAAGTCAGGCAGATGGGATTGAGACATGAGATAGGGCAGTCTCTGTAGGAGTTGACTTTAATTAAAGTGTCTGCACATACTTAAGAGAACATGATCACCAGTATATATCCTATAGCCCTAACTCCCTGTAGAGCTATAGGAACACAAAGATGCATGTTCTCAGCTAGAAAAGGCAGGAGTTTTTCTTCTATGTAATGATTAACAGTGGTGCTATCAAGTGAGGTGGCCTTATGCTGCTGTCAAGCTCTTGAAATTGGTTGTTTTCGCACACTGTTGCACTTTTTGTGCAGCTTACATAAATTGCAGAATTGATGGATTAGAAATATATACATCAATTGGTCACTTCTATGCTACCTTTGTACAAGGTAGAAATAACTTAGAAGTGAGATCTAGATCTCCCCAGGCCAATAGTTTCCTGGTTCATATTGGACCATTCTGATTTACCAGTTTGTGCTGTGTGGATTTCTAAACATTTATTTTGGGACTAGGGAACATCCTACTACATAGTTCTAAAATCCAAAACTCTTCCTGTAGTAAAAACTAGATTCCACAGAGAAGATTACCTTGCTCCAGCCCTTCAGACAGAGAAAGACAGAACTGAGGAACTATTGCTTGGAATAAAGCAGCAGGTTAATGAAAATGCTTAATAGGATCTTGTAATACTTCCAGGTACTTTTTATCTGTACTGCCAATGTAACAGAAACCATTCCGGAGCCACTGCGGGATAGAATGGAAGTGATCAATGTATCAGGATATGTAGCAGAAGAGAAACTTGCAATTGCAGAGGTAAGAGAAACCACTGATGCGCTGTGAATTACACCTTATAAAAATGTTTTTGGCAGATTCAGGCTTACATATTTACTTCCAACTGTGTCCAAAAAAATTAGGCACATGGCATTTTGGACAGAGTTCCTCCAGTATGAACACCCAGTTTAAGTAACTCCAGTGTTTCATAGGCTGTGGACTCCAGAAAATGGCATTGAGCTAATAGCTGAATGAAGTTGAGTGAATAGGAACCACGAGGCTTTTGTCACAAATACTAACAGAAGGATGTGGGGGATGATTTCTTTCAGAGATATTTGGTCCCTCAAGCGCGAGTTCTCTGTGGCTTGGATGAAAACAAAGCCAAGATCACATCAGATGTCCTGACTGTTCTCATCAAGCAGTATTGCAGAGAAAGTGGGGTGAGGAATCTGCAGAAACAAGTAGAAAAGGTGAGGGAAAATTGTGTATGACCGTGACCACTGTGCTTCAGCCTTCTCATCTTTTTCTACAGAAACATATTACTGTCTCATTCAGGTATTGAGGAAATCTGCCTATAAAATTGTGAGTGGAGAAGCAGAGACGGTCCAAGTGACACCTGAAAACCTGCAGGACTTTGTAGGAAAGCCCATCTTCACTGTGGATCGCATGTATGAAAGCACTCCTCCAGGAGTGGTGATGGGTCTGGCCTGGACAGCTATGGGTGAGACAGAATTAGTTTTGGGTCTACATTTCTGTATAATTTTCAAAAATTGAATGTGATAGTTAAAGTGAATTTTTCCCACAGAGTCTAGTGAAGTTCTTCTACTGGCACCAGTGAAATTAACTTCTGTGGCCTTTTAGAACCTGACTACTTCTTCCCTGAAGAAAGAATCCTTTCTTATTCCCTTACCCAGGCTCATTTTAGCTTCAGGCCAGCATGTTTTCTCTGTATGGTCCATATCCCATATGAACCACATACATCAGGAACAGCAATGACTAAAAGCATAAGCTTTTTCAGAGAGAACAAGACTGTGTCTGCTTCCCTAAAAGCAGAAGGTGCAGTTCTGACTTATGGCACAGCTGAGGCATGCTGTTATTTCTTCAATGATATTGCACCACTGACTTGGCTTTCAATGTCAAGGGCAAATACAGGTATTCTAGCGCTCTTGTGGGGTGGATGTAGTTGGCTACTTACCATTCATTGGATTACTCCTCTAGTAACTTGGGGGCTTATGTGCACCACAGTATGGAACATACGGCACACAGCAAAGGATATGACCACTGCATACTCCAATTGACCTTAGGTAGAATTGAAGTAGTTAAGAGGGAAACAATCAGTATGGCGGAGAAGGTAAATAGATGTCTGACACTGGAAAGTTGAACTGGCTAGAAGTGTGTTATGGTATGAGCTCATCTTACTTTTTGGCTACGAGGAGTCTGAAACCATTATAAGAACTGATTATTTCCACTAAACAGGAGTTGCATCTCTATTGTTGGAGTGTGAAATCCAAAGAAGTGATGAACGGAGACTGTCAGTGCAGTGCTGTTGAGATTTCTAGCTAGCCTTCCTGAAGGGATTCAGAAAGCAGGTTTCAGCTGCTTTTTACCCAAGAGTTAGTGACTCATCAGAGCACCAGTTCCAAATTCCTGACATTGTTTCTGCATCACCAAAACCTTCTAGTTTGATTTTCCTTTAACTTTTCTCAGGATGTTGGTTTTCTTTTCTTTCTTAGGAGGTTCCACTCTGTTTGTTGAAACATCCCTGAGGCGACCCAAAGACAAGGAGAACAAGGATGGCTCCCTTGAATTAACAGGGCAACTGGGTGATGTAATGAAAGAGAGTGCCAAAATAGCTTACACATTTGCAAGAGCCTTTCTGATGGAGAAGGACCCCAACAATAACTTTCTCATGTCTTCCCATATCCACTTGCATGTGCCGGAGGTAAACTGATGCAGAATTCACAGAACACACATAGCAGCTAGGCTGATTTGCTCCCCTAGGCACAAAGCTGGAAAGCACTTCATTTGTCCATATGTTGTGCGGAATGCCCTCTTTTAGCAGTAAAACCTAGAGAAGATGACATTTTCCTCAGGAAAATGTGAAAGCTGTTTCCATTCCTTTCTGCAACAAGCATGTGGCAAAAATACAGGGGCTTGGATAATGCTATAAGAAATCCTAGACTGTTATTGTAGCTATTGGCCCTGTTGTGGAGGTGGGGAAGCCAGAGAGAAGTGATTTGGATAAAAGCTTGTATGCAGCTACAAGGAAACCAAAGTTTAGGTCCCTTTGTTACCAGGCCTTCATAAAGGCTTCATGTCATTTACATGTAATTGAAAATACTACTCTTGGTCTCTGTGCCATGGCTCCTACTCCATATAATGGCAGCAATTGCATTTTTTCCAGTGTTTGGGACTGAAAATAAATGCACACCATGCTCAGAGGCACTCATACACTGTGTAACAGGCTTTGGGCAGGTACTTTACTGAAGACAGTGTTTGTACTATCACTATGCCCAAGCTTTGCTTCTGAACTATTGCATGCTTTAACCTAGTCCACAGTCTCCTTGTTGCAGCTTGCTCTGTGTCTGTCCAGGTACTTGTTTGTGATGTGTGTGTTCATTTCCTGGAGGATCAGAAAACAGCAGACATCTCTTCCTCTACTCCCTCTCAAACATTCATTTCTTCTGCTCTTATCTCAAAGATCTGTTTGATCTCAGATAAATCCAGACTGTCACTAGTTTAGGCCTGGATTGTATTCAGCTTTCTAAACTGAATTATCTTTTCCACCTTGACTGATTTTCAGTGTTGTCCTCCGCTACTTTGTGACTGTTGATACTCTCTTCCCTTGTGATGCTGACCTCTGTTACTTGTTTCCGTGGTTGGTTTAGGTCAAGAAAAAGCTTGAAAGCATTCATGCTGTTTTTTGCTCATGTGGCTTATTCAAAGTCCTGAGCCTGATGAGTATTGTGGTGGCATCAGGCCAGAAACCAAATAGGTAGACTCATGGATTATTCCTTATTCATAAGTGAGGACTGACATAGTCGTTAATAGATCAGCCAATTCAAATAGCAGGATTCCATCAGTGATGCTTTCGCAAAAACCTTTGTGAGACCTCCTGAAATTGCGGCCATCTTAAAACAGCAACGACAAAGGTTATTTTCTGGCTTTGGTACTCTTTGAATGAGCTAAAGGCAGGGTTTTTTTCCTTTTCTTTTAAACAGGGGGCAACACCAAAGGACGGACCAAGTGCAGGGTGTACTATAGTAACAGCTTTGCTATCGCTGGCTATGAATTGCTCAGTGAGGCAGAATGTGGCCATGACTGGAGAGGTGTCATTAACCGGAAAAATTCTTCCTGTTGGTGGAATCAAGGAGAAGACTATTGCGGTAAGAGCTCTTATCTTGTCTCCATGCATCATCTGTGTCAGCCCTGGACTGGGCTCAGCGGTGAGTGGGACAATCAGAGTGATTGCTCCTGTAGTGAGAGACGCAGTGATTCAATATACACTGTGGAGAAGCCTGCTGGGGGAACGTGGGGATCTTGCCTGTGTCTCTGGTTGTGAGGAAGAAGATGGGAGCCTAGGCTTTGTGCCAGGGCACTGTGTTGATCTAGTTACTAGACTGGTAGAATTAAGGGTGGAAGGGATCATCTGGCTGTTAAAGCTGTCTTCTCTGTCATAGACTGGTATGGTCCAGTAATCTGTGCTGAGTTGAAGTGCCTGTTTAAGGAGGACATCGAGTGTAGATTTGATGATATCCATAGAGTATCATCTTTAACATTAAGGCTGTGTTCCCTAGTTCCTGCCTACATCAGCCTTACATTACACACATTTTTCTGTCTTCAAGAATGGTATTAGCTCTTTTGGAAGCCTGTTGAGCTGGGGCTTCACATCAGTGTTCTGTCCTCAAGTCTGTTTGGGCTACAGCCTTGTGCAATGTGATTCCTTTTCCTCACGTGGCTTTAAAATGGGTAATTTTGCATTTTGCTTTGTGGTAGTCATTACGGAAGCACTAACACATGATTAGGGATGTCTGTGGCACTGACGACTGGCTGCACTTGCAGGAGTGTGAGTGGCCACACAGGGTTAAGTGCAGGATCACCCATAAAGCGAGTGGGTACAGACCTGCCACTTGATGAGTGGGCTCTACTTTCTGTGCTCCTTCCGATGCAGATGTCCATCTCAAAAGGTTCTGTAGAATGGTGCTATGGGTCATGCATATTGATGCGGTGGGCTGGTCTCATAAGCTGTTTCTTAATTTTCCTTTGATTCTAGGGTTTATCCTCACCCAAGTTGGAACACTTTTAACTCTGTGAAATAGTATGAGTTGTTCTAAACAATCCCCTGATGTGCTGACATAGTCCTACTAACATATGTCCCACTTCAGCTGTCCCTGCAGCTAAGGTGGGGCTGGAGAGTGTGTCTTTTTGGGGACTTGGAGAGATCTAGAACATGATGTGTCCTTAGTGACATCTCCTGTAAGTAATGCCTTTGCTGCTCTCCAAAGAACGGAGTAAAACCACATCATGCTCCTAAATAACTGTTCTTGTTCTTGCTTTCTAGAATGCAAGAGTGTGTTTCCAGTAGATTGATAGAATTCTAGGAGTCAACAGACTGCTTAACTTTCTTTTCCCCATAGGCAAAGAGGGCAGGTGTTACCTGTATCATTCTGCCGTCAGAGAATAAAAAGGATTATTATGACCTTGCTGGATTCATCACAGAAGGACTAGAAGTGCATTTTGTTGAGCACTACAAAGAGGTATTTGATATAGCATTTTCAAAGCTGGACTCCACTGGAGGATGACGTTCCACAGCCTGATGGCTGGAAGGTGGTCTGTCCCTTAATGCTCAGCCCCTGCCCAGAAATGGGGTGACCAGTGGCAGTCCTGAACTGGGACATGGAGCTATTGCTGCTGCGCAGCTGCTGAAATGAATTATGGCTTTGGTAGAATAAAGTATTTCTCACTCTTTAATACTGAATTATGATTCACATTAAGTATTTCCAATAAAATTGTGAAATTTTACCGAAGGAAGGTGTGTATTATCAGCCACCAGCAGTAAGGCTAGTCTTGTCTCTTCTAATTAAAGATCTTTTAATTATTCCACTGTAATTCTAAGTAATGCTTATGGAAACCTTGCACTCTACAGAGCTGGGGCTATGATTCCCATATATAGTGTTCCTGATGTACTGGTAGTTCAACAGCTCTCAGAAACCTCCTTGTCTCAGCTTATAAACCTGTATTAGGCTGGAGGGGAAACTGAAATTCTAGGACAGTTCAGGAGAGCTGGCACATCCAGCTGCAGCGGGACATGGTTCTCCAGATTAAATCACAGGTCAATACCATCAGAAACAACTCCAGGTCTAGAGAGCAGACCTGGACAAGAGTAATGTGCTCCACCATGGACTGCCTTGGCCACTGCAGCAGCTGTATTATGTTCAGAGTGAAAAAAAGAATTCAATGTCTTAGCATGACTGTTGTACATCAATAAACACAGGCTTGGGGCAGAGAACATGAGTACTTTGTCTTACGGCAAATGCTAGAAAGAATTAATGTAAATAGGGAAGAGTAATTGCATGAAGTCTAGTTGAAATGTATTTCCTTGTGCAGGAAGAACAGCACTTGTCCTGCCTCACAGCATTGTAGCCCATAGGGGAGAATAATCAACCTACTGAAATTGAGGGGAGCTCTTATTGTAATTTTCTCAAGATTTGATAACACACTGCAGAAAGTAGGGCATGAGTGGAGGGTAAAAGGGGAAATGCATGAATAAGAAAAGCTGCACAAGGTTAAGTGCCATGGGGATAGAAGGCAAAGTTGTTACCATTTTCAACAGCAAATCTCTCCTACCACCATCTAGGTTTGGACACAGACTGGGGAGGGTAAGGTATCACAGCCTTCACAGGCTTAGCCATTGCAGAGACCTCCCCCGTCCTGAGACAGGCTAGCTCTGCAAGGGCTGCAGGAGGAAGATTCACCCTCTAGAATATATCACAGGCCAGTACCATGAACACCAGTATCTGCATCTCCAGCTGCAGGTAAAATAAAATAGCGATGCAAATTCTGGATTACTGCAGTTCAGGGCCTTGTCAGCAGTCCTTCAGCATCCCCAGGAGCACCCCACTCCTACAGGCTGAAGCAGGTGTACCATCAACAGTCACTACACCATTTTTATGATAAAGGAGTTTATTGAGTTACAGACTACAGCTCAATCCTTCTTTGCAGCAGCTTTCCTCATAGCTGCCAGGACGTTGCTGAGTTCTTCACGCTTTCGCTTGGCCCGAATGTGAGTGCCAACCTGTAGGGGAGAGAGCAGTGCAGTCAGCATTCATCCCAGCAGAGAACAGATAAAACTTCTTTGCTGCTTCAGGCATTCACTGAAGATGCTTTACTTAAAAAGCAGGCAGGATGGTGAAGTCCTGGTAAACATGGACTCAAACTCCATCCATCTCGACTGGCCAGCCAGGAACAACTTGCCATCACACCTCAGTAGTACTTCTACTTAAGAATTATTTGGGGCAAGGTAGAAGCTGCTTTCAGCTCTCATGGCTGCCCTCGATGAACCCCATTTCAAGTCACCTGGTTAATGGTACCCAACATCCATCAATATTGCTTTCCTCTTGCCTGCACCAGATTTGCAAGTAATGCAAAAATAACAAGGCAAGTCTGGATTACTGTAGCTCTGGGCCTTTCTGGTAAAGTACCTTTACATCCATCTCCCACTCTCCAACTCAACCCAAGGAGCATTCCCTCCGCTCCCTTAGACTAGACCAGTAACTTCCCAACCAACTGAAACAAATAAGATAATTAAAAAGAAAACAGTTAACTATAGCAGAGTTTTTGCCATCCTCATTAAGATGTCTGATTGACTTACCCGTTTCTTTATGAACTTCAGAGCACGTTTATCTTTGGAAACTTTCAGCAATTCCATAGCACGTCTCTCATAGGGTGCAAAGCCACAGACTTCCCTGATCATGTCTCGCACAAATTTGGTGTGTTTGGTCAGGCGCTATAGGAAGGAGGGGGAAAACATATGGATCACAATGAACGTAAGTGCTAATTTACCCAGACCGGACTGCAAAGCGTTGTGACAAACTCTGGGCTAAGGCCCCGAAACCAGCTTATGCTATTTATTAGTGTGTCACAAGGATGTACAATCTCCTGGTAAGTGCTACGCAGCACGGTGATCTCAGCAAGACATGCTAGTCTGTTTTCATTTTAACCACAGTATTGGCTATTTTACACATTTGCATGCACCCACATTCTTAGAAAAAGCAGAACCACTAGATATCCAGGGTGTGCATGGCTACATATTTCAAACACCACACCTAAACAGCATTTAATCGAAGTGGACTAGAAGATGCAAACTTAATTAGTCTCTCATGTTAACACACATATTCGTTGAACCTGAATAACTCCCAATTTTTGTCATTATTGGGCAATGTTGTGGGGGACACCTGTTGTTATTACCAAGAGGCAGACTAGGAGGGACTTCAGAAGTCGCCCAGCCTATTTTCTATTTCACTGCTAATTCGACTTAAGCTGTGGTTGAAATGCATTTATCTTATTCTTCCATTACAGACTCCTCCCCTGCTAATTCTCCTATAACCAGCTATTTCACTCCACGCCCACCTTCACACATTTAACACTTTTCGTGATTTAAGCCCCCGCTCCATGGGTAACATCACCAGCTTTCTCAACCCTTAAAACGTGGTGCTTAGAAAAGCGGGTTTTCTGTTGGTCCCAGTCACTGCAGTTCAGGGCCAGGCAGTGCGCCACACCCCTGCGACTACGGATGGAGAAGACCTACAAAGCACATACTTCTGCCATCCATCGGAAACATACATTCAATTCCTACACCGCCTGCTGCTGTAAACAGTCACCCACCTTGCATTTAGGCAATCCAGTTAAATTTTGGGGTTAGACGCTAAAGCAGCAGCCTGCAAGTGCCCACCACCCTTCCCAGCTCCGCAGTGGCAAATCTACAACAGCCGCGCCATCACAAGGCGGTGCGGGGGTTCTCGGCAGCCGGAGAACCAACCGATTTGCACCATTGCACCCTCCCTGACCACAGTCCTGGGCTGTTTGCGAACTGCACCTCATCCCTTTCACCCGCCCTCCATCCAACCCCCGGGAGACGGGGACGGAGGCAGATCGGCGAGCCCTTTCCGGCGGTGCCCGGTCCCACGCCGGACACACGACCGCAATACGACGTGCGCGCCCCAGGAGCAACA